CCACTCGAGCTGCTCCTCGTCTCCGCCCCCGACGAGTATGCAGTCCAGAAGCCGATGAACGCCCGTCAGAAGGCTCTCATCAAGAACTCTCCGCATGTCCCCGTCATCCCTATGAAAGAGACAAAGGGCGGGTTCTCGATCACATTTGTGCATCTGGGCCGCAAATACTATCAGATCACGCTATGGGCGAGCACCTACGTCAGCCAGCGGAAGTGGGTGGAGCACATCCAGAAGCAGCAGGAAACCATGCGCGAACGCAGTACTGTGTTTGAAACCATCACCCTCAGCGAGAACTTCTTTATCGGAGTGAACAGGGTCAACTGCGCTGCTCCTTTCAGTAAGTGATCGTTTGACTACAATGCTTGCGGATAGCACACTGAACTTTTACGATAGATCAAGGCCGGAAGGTCGTGTACGGTACTGACGATGGCGTCTACCTCTCGAATCTGCTGGAGCGCAATCGGGAACCGGTCAAGGTGCTTGCACTCAAGGATGTGGCTCAGATCGACGTCCTGGAAGATTACCAGTTGCTAGTCGTCTTGTCAGGTATGGTAGCTGTGTGCCGTGACTCCCGTCCCTTGCCTGACCTGTGATCGCAGAACGACAAGTCATCACGTTCCCACTGGATGCATTGGACCCAATGGATCCATTAGCTGGTCTCAAGCGTGCGAAGAGGATAGCGTCGCACATATCCTTCTTCAAGGCTGGCGTGTGTCTTGGGAGAACTCTCGTCTGTGTCGTGAAGTCAAGTCCCTTGTCCAGTACTATCAAGACACTGGAGCCGATCGACCAGCACGTCCGTGGTAGGGCGAAGCCGACGTTCCGGAAGTTGCTGCAGGGCGGTAACGACACGTTGCGCGTATTCAAGGTATGTGTTTTGTCGAACAAGTAGACTTTGGAGGTCGTGATTCTCATTCCTTAGCAGGAGTTCTACATCCCGCTGCAGTCGAGTTCAATTCACTTCTTGAAGACGAAGTTGTGTGTTGGTTGCACAAATGGCTTCGAAATCGTCGACCTCGAGACATTGGATACCCAGGGTCTCCTCGACCCGGCCGACGCGTCACTTGAGTTCGTGCACAAGAGGGAGAACCTGAAGCCGCTCGCCATCTATCGAATAGATAACGAGTTCTTGTTGTGCTATGACGGTGCGTTGCTATCTCACAGTGTCGTCACCTTTTACCGATCTCCTCCGAAGAATTCGCCTTCTACGTCAACAAGACGGGCTGGCGTTCACGGAAGGACTTCATGGTATACTGGGAGGGATCACCGACTGGATTTGGTAAGTGTGCAGTTGATCTCTAGCTCTCTCACGATTGACACCCAAGTAGCGCTACACTATCCATACGTCCTTGCCTTCGAGCCGACGTTCGTGGAGATCCGGCATGTGGAAACTGGTTCAATGTCACAGATCATCCAAGGGAACAACCTGCGCTGCCTCTTCGCCGACACACCGCCGTCCACGACGCACTCAGCAGCGAACCAGTACAATCCATACCCAGGAGGTTATGGTTACGCGCCCTATGGTTCCCCGGACGGCTCGAGAACGTCCTTCGGCTCGAATGGCCACGGACTGCCTCCACCACCTGGTGCAGGCGTGCCATACCCCAACCCATACATGCCACGACCACCACTTGGTGTCGGCCGCGACGAGATCCTCGTGGTCTCCGACGACCGCGTTATGCGGCTCCAGATGACCCAGGCTGCGCGTTCTGCGGTGTATGGGCAGTGACGACGTGACGGAGACGGCCCTTCATGACGCGACGACCTGTTATATTGCTTTCCCTCATCTATTCGTTCGTACTGATGCCACACACCCGCACGTCCACCTGCTTTCGCCGCGCCCCCGCCTCGCGTCCCCATCCCTCTAGTATCCTGGTTCTTTCATGCCCGAATACACACCCGTCCCTGGTTCCCTTCCATCCGTGCTGTTCCACGATAATCGTTCCTAGTGCCTCCCGTGTTGACGTGATGTCTGTGTTGTTGTTGGCTCATACATTCCCAGTTCTACGTACACAGCATATATATCCTAACCTGCATTTGTATCTCCCAGTCTCTCCTCATTGCCACGATACGAGTAGCTAACTCATATATTCGAGCATAGACGGCTTTCGTGTTGGCGCGTTGGACTGCACGCGTGCAGGACATCATTCCCAGGTGAGCGATCCCGAATCACGATCTAGCGCATAGCTCCCCATAAAATCTACACGAAATCAAGTTCCCGATGCGAAAGTTTCCTGACATTACAACTTGGACTTGCCAACCCCCTGGTTGGCGAACAAGTCGAAGATGTCCTGCGCAGCGCGCTCGAGCTCCCTGCAGAACTCGTCGTTCGGCATCTCCGTGCGCGAGGTCACCGTGAATTGGAGGAAGTCGTCGAACCCGGACGTGTACGCGATGCCAAAGCCGTCGGGCACGACCTCGCCCCAGCCGTATGGCCCGAAGTTCTTGGTGTAGATCGCAGACGTGCTGAGCACCCAGTAACTGGAACGCTTGACGACTGGGTTCGCGAACACCTCGGGCATCTGCTCGCCCTCCTTCACCGAGAGCTTGAGGCCTGGACACGGTGTCAGCGGCTCGTGAACGGAACTGTAGAATAGGGATGCCCACCGAGAAGGTGCCGGTCGATTCCCCGTCCGTTCCCTGCAGCACGCGCGTCCGTGCCGTGCCTCTTGAGCGCATTACGGAACAGCTCGAGCCTCGTGCTCGGGCTCGCACCCGCCTCGTCCATGCTCGCGACCCACGCGTCCGACTCTGCGGAGACGATGCGGATCGCCTCCGTGCGGCCCTTGAGGAACTTGCGCGTCGACGCGGCCTCGTACGTACCGCCTTGGCGCTTCCAGCCCTTCGCTCGGACGAGGCGTGCGTACGCGAGCTGGATGATCATCTGCGTCCAGCCGTCGGGCGAGACCCCGAACGACTTCACAGCGGCCTTGCCGTACGGCGTGCGGACGATGTTGAGAGTCTGCGAGGTGATGAGGGCCACCGCGGCCTCCGTCGCGGCATCGATGGCGCGTTGCGTCTCCGCCGAGACCTTCCAGTCAAGCGGCTCTGGGAGCGCACCGGTAGCGGCCGAGTGGAGCGGCGAGTTGGCGGAGGTCGCGAAGTCCTTGGAGGCGATGATGTCGAGCACGCGGTCGCACATCGTCGCGGTGGGCGTGCCGTCCATGACGGAGTGCTCGCCGACGAAGCCGGCCTTGCCGTCCGGGAGGACGACGAACTGGCACGGCTTGTCCATCCACCTGTTGCGGAGGCCGAGTCGGGGCTGGCCGTTGGGCTGCTGTGTGACGGCACCGTGCCAGAGGTTGCGGGAGAACTCGACCATCCCGTTGGCAGGCTCGGTGTCGAGGCAGAGGACGAAGGCGGCGGAGTGGATGGTGGTGAGGATGTGGGCGTTCTGTGGGTCGGATGCGAGTTGTGACAGGTCCTAGGTGGGATACGGTCAGAAGATGCGAGGACAGTACGTGAATGGTGGCATACATACCTTGGCCCACACGTCGCGGTTAGATGCGGTGAGCACGCCAACACCAGGGTAATCCTGGGTGGTGTTGTCGTAGATGTGCTGGATATGCCTAGAACACGAAAGTTAATGGCAAAAGGGCATGGGTGCTGTATGTATGCGCACCTCTGGAGCTCATTTAGGGAGAGAAGCCTTCCGTCCTGCCATGGCTCGATCTTCCAGACGCGTCCGCGGTGGAGGACCACGACGTGGCCGGACTGGCCGCGGTCGCCCTCTTTCGCATGACTCACGGACCAATCGAGCCCAGCACCGGGAATGCGACAGCAGTCGAACATCCATCTAGAGATGACAAGCTATGTGAGTCGCATTGTGCAGTCATGTGGAGACCGTCCACCAGTTCTCCTTGCAAATATGCAATTGAACACCCTAACACCGTAGTGGGGTGGGTTATGTAGTGGTAGGCTGGCCAGTACGAAATCGAGTGGCCCTAGCCGTGCAGCTATGCGTATGTATGCTCGTGCATGTTTACGAGCGATTTCTCGAGATGCCAGAGCTCGGCAACGTACCTCCAAGTGTCCATGCATATCGGGCCCTCTTTAGTAGCCTCCGGAGGGATCTGACCTAGCTTGTACTGTTCGCGGAAGGCCATGACTGCGCGCACCAGCGACGCGGCTCGGTGAACAGGTGTCTGGGGTAGGTGCGCGGGGTGGTCCTTGAATCCATCTGTGCATGCAACGGCTCGTCGGTGGTGCTGCCAATCCCGGGAACCTGGCCCACGTACAGTAGTATGATACGTTTATCACAATCTACGTCCACCATGAGTGAATATCGGTATGTAGACAGCCAGAGACTACGCGCGACTCACTGAATCCCGGTAGCCCAAGTACGCGATGTCGTCCCACCACTCCTCGAGCCAGTGCAGCCGTCCGGGCTCCTCGCTGCGCTTCTGTAGCCGGTCTTGGAGCAGCCGCGCGTAATCGCTGGACGCGAATTGGTCGACGGCCTGCACCGCGTCGGCGTACTCTTTCTCCGACCACGCGATTGGCCTCAGGCTCTCCTTCAGCTTGCCGACGGTCTCTTCTAGTGCGGGGGCGGGGAGGCGGGGGAGCGTCGACTGCGCTGCGAAGGTCGGACCTGAGAGCGGCGGGGGCGCGAGTGTCTTCCAGTTCGCCGGCCGCGTCGTGCTGAAGGGTGTCGAGGACATCGTGCGCGCCGCTGACCAGGCGATGCGGGGTAGCCTGGGGAGCTTGGCAGGAATCATGAAGGTCGCGGGGCACAGTTCGACTCCGGGGTAAAGAGCTGGTTATATGCGCCCCGCGTCCAAGCTCCGGCTACCCCGCCATCGACCCTCGCCATGTGAAATCTCGATTTAATGTACTCTCCTTGCGGGACTTGACCGCCGCGTTCCTGCCTTTCTGCCTCCTGTACGGCGTGGATCAGTAACAGACACGAGGGAGTTGCAGGATAAAATGTTTGCACAAACGAACAAGAGGGACGTAAGTCGAACATATGAAAAGCGAGAAAAAACGCATCACACTCCGAAGGGCCTGGCCGGGAATTGAACCCGGGACCTCCTCCAATTCGGAGTAACTGCTTCACAAGCAGTCTACACCCTAAGAAGGAATCATACTACTAGACCACCAGGCCGATGAAAGGCTTCCATCAAGGCACAACAGTAAAGTCAGTAGGCACATAGCCCGCACCAAGTCCACACCCGGCCTCATCACACCAGCAAGTACACGCAGCGGCTTCTATACAAATCATGGTATGTATGGACACATGCTCCGCCGTATGCACATATGCTCGGAGCAGTCGGTCTTTGAAGGAGACTCCACCGTCTGCATCCTGCCATGCATAAGTCACTGCAGGTTCACTTATCAAGGAGAGTTGGGAGGTTCTCCTTGATGTACTCAACAACCGCGTCCGGCCCTTTTTCCACCTGCAGGCCTTGCGGGATGCTGAACGTCTTGATGCCAGGGATCGTCTCCCGCGCGATCCTGACGATCTCCTGCGTGCAAAGGTCATCTACAGACAGAACGATGGTGTGCTAGCCTTCAACGCTCACCTGCGCTTGTTCTGGGGTCCACATGGAGGCCGTGAACTGAGACGATGAGCACAAGAACTGACGGGAAGTGTCTTGCCAGCGAGACTTACTAGCACGTTTGGTTGCTCCCTCTCCACGATAGCACGTACGTCTTCGATTCCTGTGCCTGAGATCAGCGGAGGTTTGAACCTCACTTCAGTGTCGTAACTCACTTTCGGCATTCGCAGCGTGCACGATGGTGTATTTGTCCTTGACATCCTCCACGACTCTCCCGATCAGTCGCTTGGCGCGTTCGGGAGCCGTGTTGACGGTGACGAGTTTGTATGTCTTGCGCGTATCGGACATGGCGGGAGTTGACACAAGTGCAGGTGAAGCTCCCAGTGGGCCGTGGCTCGAAGTACCTGTACGTCACACGGACTCGGCCGCCGTCGATGCAGGTGTGCGAGAGGCCGCAGGCGGGCACATGCGAGCACGTGCACGTAGGGATAACGATTTGTACGGGGTGTACTCCGCTACTCGACCGTGACGCATCGAATGCTGCATAAACGTCCAGTCCCGCATTGTTAAGTTCGTGTTACGATGCCTTGCAACGGCCACACGCAGGCTCCGAGCTAGGGTTATGATCCTCCTCAACTTCCTCGAACCCCGTGTACGTCGAAAGAATCTCTCTCGGAAGCGATAGGATACTAGTGACGAGGAAGACTCATGCAGCGCAACGTGCTGAAATGGAACTGCACGAATGTGCAGTTGTACTAGTACCACAACCGCGGCACGCCCGTGTCGCGCCGCGCGTCGTTTCACGCTGTCAAAGGGATGATTCAGTGGTCTGAGCCCGAGAAGTTGAGGAGACGCACATGGTCACAACAACGATGACTTCGTTGTCTGCGACTCTGCGTCTATATATATGCTACTGCCATGCCCGAAGTCTCAGCCAGTTTCGGTATACCGCGTGGTGGCCTTGCCACTCTTGAGCTTCAGCTGCAGCTTTGACTTTATCAGTAGCTGCGAGCAGCCCGAGTGATCGTAGGCAGCTGTGTCGGACTTTATTGAGTAAGACACACGGACCTGAAAGCTAAGACGCACCGAGGCGGGAACTTTCTCTACAGTGTCCAAAACCTCTGGTGAGGCGAGCGTGACCGGCTCCATCAGGTTGAAGGGTCGCGCGGAAGCCCATCGAGGAGCTCTCTGCGGACATAAGTATCCCCATCTTTGAGAGCGCAGCGGAGCTAGGCAGGCAGTAGTGAGGCAGCAGTAAGCACACAATGCTCGGACTCAACATGCGACCTCTGTTGACCGCGCCGTGCTAGTACGGCAGGGAGTCTGGGGTGAGTCTCACGCACAGAACAGATGAGGGGCAGGAGCATACCGAGATGGGCTGCTATCTGCAGGCCGACGACGCTCCGGCCAACCCTGGGTGAAAAGTCGCTGTCATGCGCCCCTGTTCGCCGCTATCATGTGGTTATGTGTACCGTTGTAAGCTGTACTAAGGCTCAATTCTGCACTTTGCTGGATACTTACCTGCCCACCGGATTAGTCAGAGTCAAGACCTGCTCAATAACACTTGCACGGACTCCTCAGACTCCACGCGCGTCTCTCCGCTTCCAGCCTCCCTCGAACTCCTCGTTTCAACTTTCCCCGACACGCTGCCGGAATCTTCCGTAACGTCATAACAAAACCCCTTCAAGTCACGAACTCTATTTCGTCACAACTTCTCCTCGTACCACCATCTACTAGCCGCTTTCCCCTCCGAGTTCACTTACTCTCTCCCGGACTCTTCCTGTGATTGCAGCTCAGTAGTCATGGTGAGAGTTGCTTTCTGCGTACCTGTAGGTGCAATTGTATGACGCATATAGCAGGTTTCGCGAAGTACAACGCGCAGGCTAGTCGCAGTTATCTAGTAAGTGCATAGGCCCGCGGACCTCGCGACACGAGCGTCGCTGACCGATGACTGTGATGAAGCCAAAAATGCACGAACGAGTGATGGAGTGAGAACTGGAGGAGTTCCTGTGGGGTTTAGTACTGCAGGTGCGACCTGCATCTCGTTGCTCCGTTGCTCGACATGTCGCGTCGGAGATGCGTCCTCACGTGACCGTGTCAGGGCGCGTCCAGCATCGGGCCGGCGCAGGGATTACATAACCCAGGATGGCTGGATCGGAGTCTTTGGGTCCGCAGGCTCTGCGCAGCCACCCCGACGGCTTTCACTACCCCCTCGCTCTGGATGTCGGTTGCAGGCTCGGACTACGGCGGGTCAAGCTTTGGCAGATCGGAGCCCCGCCCGGACAAGGCGCTGGTCGTCAAGTGCACCCACGAAGAGCGCGGCAGTAAGAAGATCTCATTCCCGTCCTCCCGCCTCTGCACATACGACAGTCTCCGGAAGCATGTGCGTCATCGAGATGATCCATCCACTTTCCTACCTGCTGATCTTTCACAGGTAGAGAAATGTTTCGGCCTCAATTCTACCCCATTCTACATTGCATATGTCGACGACGACTCGGAAACGACCGTGATCAGCAATGAAGCAGACCTCACCGAGGCCATCAACTACTTCAAGCCCACCTCCAGCGAAGATGCCCCTCTTTCCTCCGCGGCCTCCATCCTCTCCGGCCGCAGCTTCCGCAAGTCTCAGATCGTCCTGCGCGTCCATGTCGTCGTCGACTACGATGGCATCAGCCTCTCGGACACCGGCTCGCTCGTCAGCCTGGAGGAGTACCAGAACAGGAACGGGAGTGGGCAGTCGCTGTCGTACTCGTCAGAGCCTCCACGCGAGCTCGAGGACGATGCTATCACGGTGAGTTCCAAGGATGTCGGTTCCAAGTACGACGCATACCGCGGCAAGGGCACCAAGACCATTGTCGCGGGCCCCAGCCGCGAGCCCCTCATCGACCCCGGCGACCAGTGGGAGACTCGTACCCTGTCTAGCGCTGCAAGGACGCGAGATCCGGGCCCGCTATCCTCCTCCGACACCCTCGCACGCTACCCCGAAGATCCGTCATCCGTATTCGCACGGCTGAAGCTGGAGGAGGAGCGCCTTGGACTGTCTCCCGGCAATCTCAACGGCACATCCACCTTCCAGACAGAGCGCGGAGCCAACTGGTTGCGAGAGCAGAACGCGCACCTGTCGATACTCGATGGAGACGGGGCATCAGTCAGCGACTTTTCGCTCGAAGACAGCGTGTCGCTCGAGCTCGAGCGAAATCAGCATGGGAACTACCGTTACACGCTCACTGGCAGCAGCGGGTCGCAGAGCGTGCGCGATTACGGATACGACGACGACGCGGTCGAGAGTCTGGCGGATTCGGCAGAGAAGGTCTTGGACAGTCGCCCAACGTCGATGCAGGCCACGCAGTTCTCGCACCCACATCGTTCCTCAAATCCATTCATGAGCCCCGAGGAGCAGCAGTTCCCGACAGATTACATACACCCGGACATACCGCCGGAAGTGTTGTCGTTCCTGCGTCCCGACCCGCCTCTTGGGCCACCTCCCGATCCCACGAACTGCTCTAACTGCGGCGTCGTACTGGACATGATCAAGTACGTCTGTTCGACCTGCGGGGAGAAGAAACCCATCATCATCGAACCCGAGTGGACTGGAGACGTGAAGGGGAAGACGCGGGCGATTGAGATTCGCCGAGAACACTCGTACCCGCCATGGCACAACGCTCCGTCGACCGCAGCATCGGCTTCCTCGCTCACCATAGTTGGAACCGGCAGTCAGCATTCCGGGAGTGGAAGCTCCGGCTCTTCAGACCACCACCCCTCGCGCTCGATGTCTGAGAGCACACTGCATCTCAACGTTCATCATCCGCCGTACAAGCCGTTGCCTATACCTCCCGGTCAGGGTAGCCCTGTGTCGTCTTCACCGGGATCTGAAAATAGGAGAAGGGACGGATACGAGCTCTGTTCGAATTGTGTACAGGCATATGGTGTACAACACTCGCTTGAGTTTAGTACCACGCCTGGCACATCCCCGGGACCCGGGACTTCGCCGGAGGATGCTGAGCGGGCACTCTCGAGATGGCGGCGCACGGCGCCGAGTCAGAAGGGGTTGCTGCGGCACGCGTACATCGAGCAGAGTTGGACACATAACGGTTGGGAAGACGTTGGTGAGTATCACTCCCGCCCCCATGCGCTCACAAATGCTGCGGCGTGTAGACTCTACAGCCACATCATGCGATGGGTCCTTACAGGCACGGACCTGACGATTGTTCCATTCGCAGAGCAAGGCGGCGAAGGAACATGCCACTGTTCTACCTGCAACACTGTCATCACAAGCCACCGGTACAAGTGTGCGTCTTGTGATGATTTCAACTTGTGCCGAGCTTGTTACAGGTACGCCACTGCAGGGTGTCGTGGTACGATTCCGCAGCCAGATGCTCACGCGCACAAATCTTTCGTGTGCTAGGCAAGTGTATGAGGTTCACCCTGCACACGCGTTCCTCGCGGTCCCGGACAAGCCAAGCAGCTCTCACTCATCGAGCGGCAAGATGGTCGACCTAGCTGGACATACGTCTATGGACGAAACCTGTGAGTCCAGACGCTTGTGCGGTCTGTGGGGCCACTTCTCAACGCTCGTGTTGTCTCGTGTGATATAGCGATGACACAT